TTCAATGTCTTTTATTAGATCTGAGTATGTATCTCTTAGACGCCATCCATCGTCACCCTTGAGCGAAGCTGGGGAGACACGATGCAGTCGAGACATGGGCTCCTACAAAAACACAATTTTATATCTGTTTGAGTGGGATCAACTTATTTCATGGCCGAACTTCTAAACGAGCTCCTTGCTGCTCACTCGCAAGAGCTACTAGATACGACATCAGCAATTCCTGAGGTTTAAATTCTCACAGGGTACTCTCATTTTTCTTAGCTTTTCTTGGTCCTACCCTCAAGATCTTCATCAACTGATTGGCTTTTGCACTATTAGTAAACAGCCCTGAGACATGTCTTTGTGGTTTATCAGTATGCCTTTCTCCAATTGATCCTATCCGAGGTAGTTTACACATGCAGTGGTTCTTCTAAACTTCTAACTCAGCTGTAAGTTTGCAAACTATCCGCTGAGAAATCGGACGTATGCGTTTCTGTAATGCTGTCACAAATATACGTTCAAGGAAATACTTACAATCTACAGAGATTCTTGTAGTGTGGTTCAAGTATTATCGTGTACCTGTATGTGTATTTTGAGTCCTCGTAGCCAAAGCAACTTGTTCGAAATTGGAGGGAGATGAGGATAAGTTGGAGGGGAATCCATATGAAACTCCAAGAATACCCTCATGTCCAGTAACTCTTGAGTGAAACCATGCACCAAAGCAGTAAATAGAACCTTCAGATTTGTCTAAGGTGTTCAAAACAATTAGAAAAGGTTACGTCTGCATGCAGGACTGACTCGCATACAATACAGCTACCACAAGTTATTCAAGCTTCTGTGACAAGCTCTCTAAGCTATGATCATTTGGATCGCCATGGCGCGTGGAAAATAGGGAGCTTTAGCAACGACGACGGCGACGGCAACGAGAACGGCAAAAAACAATAGGCTTAACGAGCAAAAACAATCGCCCTGCACGTGCGTTTAACATTTTGGTATATTTCTTTGCCGTTCTCGGCAAAACAACAACGTGAAATAACCAAACTTCAGGTTTTCTCGAGAACGTGAGCGAATGACGTTTAATTTTTCTTTCTTTCTTTCTCCTTACTTTAACGCCGTTCGTAGTGATACAGTCGCTGAATAGTTCGCCAGCATTTTCCAAGTGAAACACATCGAAATAACTTCGAAAGAGTTACAAAAACGAAAAGTTAGATTTCGACACCACGTTTTCGTTGCCGTCGCCGTCGTCGTTGCTAAAGCTCCCTATTGGCGACTACACGTGCCCCTCAAGTCACCAACTTCGCGATCTGTGATTGGCGGTCAAATAGCATAACACATGTAGTTAGAACGTTAGCATAACACATGTAGTTAGAACGTTACCATCACAGTGTGTTTATGGTCAAAATAAGATAAACAATTGCATACATCAAAATAATTGATCCAGAGTTTTCTTCTGTGAAAAGAACCTCATTAATTCTCTGGTGATCGAATATTGAGCCTTGAGAAATCGCATGTACCCCAACACGATTTTGTTTTCTAACGACTATAATTTTATTTCTAACAATCATTTTTAAATTTTGGTATGCCAAATGACGGCCTTGAAAAGAGTTAAACTTGGAGTTCTGACACGATGCAACCACGTGTTGCTAATCTTCTTGGATACGAAGTAACTTTATGAGAAATTACCAGTTACGTGCTTTATAATTAGCGCATGACTCTGGTGGAAAACTTCTATTTGAATATCCTTCTCGCTAATAGTCTACTTTACAGTTGTGTGCTTGGTTGCCAAGCCTTTGAACGGGAGTGAGGTTAGGGATGACCTTGTTATGATACAAACCTTGCTGCCTTCCAAATGTAAATCACTTTGTTATCATGCTAACTAGATACAGGTCTCTATCACAACAAGGTCATCTTTAGCCTCACTCTGAATCAAAGGCTTGGCAACTAAGTACACAACTGTAAAATGGCCTATTGTCACCTGAACAAGTTCTCGTCCACTGATTCCTTCAAAGACTTCCAGAAGCCTCAGTTTGGCTCTTGTGTCCCAACATTGCTTAAAACTTTGTCTCATCACATCGGCCAGGTTGTACTCTAAATCCTGAAAATGATGAAATAAGAATTTTTTAAGTCCTAAGAAACTAGTTTGGAAAAAGTCAAATTAAGGCATCGAATGAACCTCAACAAATTTTTACAATTAAAAAAACTTACCCTGGTTACAGAACGGAAGGCGAAAAATTCTCTTTCAAACTCCTGTGTTTCACTTGCATTCAACACATCCTGAAAAATGGCAGTTTTGAAAAAATCTTACTTTTAAAACTTCACCCGCAGTTTACGATCAATACCTCCTTTACGACAGACATGTAGATTCAAATCTAAAAGGGTCATTTGAGACACCTCTAGGCTTGTGCGCCATTTCACGTCAGCAAAACACGTTTACTTAAACCGGTTTAACTGAATGAAAATTAGAAAAAGATAACTGAAAAACTGAATTTTTCACACGATTCAAGTGGTCACTGACTTGTTACGTTCAATGTGCTAAATTTGAAGTCGACTGACAAACATTTTAGGTTTAAGCAGTTTCTAGGGAGAAAACAAATTTAAACCGTGTTTAAAAAACAGCTGAAGATCACGTTTAAGCTTCAGTGTAAAATGGGGTATGTCTTTTATAAACAGAGTTGAAAATAAACGAACTATTCTCTGTGTTCTCACATGTGGCATCTGCTGAAAAGAACGAACACCCTCTTGAAATTTGCGATGGATCTCCCTCACTTGAATGTCCAAACTGTTGCCGCCAGCACCACCCACTTGAGCTGTCCATGTCAACAACTCAAAATGTTGAGTTGTCTGAACGAGTTCCAGTACATCATTACAGCGCTCCATGAAGTTGTTTAGCGATGTAAAACACGCATTGTTTCGAGGAGGCCAAGGAGAGTCAGTCCACAGTTCTAGAGTATCAAAACCACTGTTACTTTCCGAGAGGCTGTTTCGTCGATGAAACATCTTTGTATTTCTGGGGGTTAGGCTGTTGTTGTACAGTTTGCTGTACCACACAATACCTCCACTGTCCCTACTGTGGAAAAAGACATGACCACAATGCTCAAGATGGCAATGATATATACAACACTATTTTGCAGATATTTAACACGGACTCTCCTGAACAATCGGCGAAGAAACGCCTTCACACCAAAGCGGTAATTAAATGAGAGGCTGCTGGAGAATGGAAAATGTGAATTGTTGACTTTCAAATGCAGAGGTCTCAGAGGTGAAGGCATGTGTTAACCTTTGAACTCCCAAGATCTGATTGTAAATTCTCCCCTCGAGCTGCTACACATTTCCTTGTAAATCGGTTACGAGAACTTGGCGTTCAATCAAGGTATCACTCTGTACCTGATGAGTTTCAGTATTCTCAGTGCCTGATTGTTGGATAATGTATGGATATTATAGGGAGAAGTTACATGTTAATCACTTCTGGGAGTTAAACGGTCAATTTTACTTGGACTTACTTAGTTCCTGACTGTTCAGATAATCTTTGTTGATTTGTGTCATCAGCTCTGTCCTTTTTATCCAAGTAACAACCTCGGAATGCAGCACATACTCGCAAGGCATCCTTCAAATTGGTGTAAGACTGAAGGGAGAAACAAAAAAGGTTAGCAATTGAAAGTGGTCATTATGAAGAACATGACCAACCTAATACTACACCCTAATGTTCCTTCCCTAAGTTTCCTAAGAGTTTTGCTGAATACAGACTTAAAGTTGAAAAAAGTGTAGTTTGGAAAAGGTGACAAAGAAAATTCACATACTGCTAAGAGATTTTCCAGCACATGTTCTCCGACCAGCTGCCTTGCTCGAGCAACAACTTCATTTGACAACATGGTCAGTAGTCTCATGAAATTTCTGTTGTCATGATAATACCTAAAAAGGAGATGAAATTACATGATTGAAGTACAACTGCCTCTTTTCCCTAGAGTGCTGCAAAAACCTCATCAAACAATAAGTTTGTTTGTTGGAAGTCAGATCCTAAAAAAACAGTACCTCAACAAACTGCATAATTATAGAAATAGACATCTATATTTATACAGGATAGCCCCTTCAGTGTGGTAAACACTGGTATCAACGGGGATCCTGTTACCCACCCATCCCACCCCAGGGGAGGACATCCATCACACAGTAATCTCGTGCATGGGAATTTAATTTCTCCTGCCTCTAACCCTGCAGGAGACGGGACCTCCATTTATTCGTCCCTATCTGAGAAGACTAGAGTATCTAACCATTTCTTGATGTTATAGAAAGGCAGCATATTATTCTCAATTATTTTAAGACCCTGAGTGTTCATCCAGCTGGGGCTCGAACCCTCAACCTCCTGCACAACAGTCCAGCTCCCTATCCATTGAGCTAACCAGGAGGTGGTTAGCTCAATGGATAGAGCTACCTCAATGAATAGAGATAATTTTACACATGATTGGCTGAAAGCATCTATTAATTCTTAACGTCAAGTTCTGTAACTTAACTTACCTTGAGTGAACCCAAACAAGAAAGAGAGTATGCACTAAGGGGGGGAAAACAGACACCATATCAGCAGACTTGGTTGCATAATGAAGCTTCTCAAACCAAGGTAAGAGAGTACTCAGAAACTGCAGGTTATCATTGGTCTCTGCTTCAGCCTTGGTAAGAAAAAATACAAAAGAATTGAAAAGATAAATTGGCTGTTCCATTTTTCATACTACGACATCTTGGTATGAACTGTGGGATAAAAATGAATGAGGTTTTGAAGGAAAATAACAATTATTCAGCATGATCCTTCTCTGAAATATCTTCAAATGAAAATTCTCAGACAATAATAACTGCTGACAGAAATTACCCATGGAAGTTTACAAAACATAGCCAACAAGTTCTTTTTTTTTTTTCACTAAACCAGATGATGGATGTGGGTTTCCTGATGCACAAACTTGTACAGCCCGTTACTTAAAGCCTCTCCCATAGTAAAAGCTTTTTCCAATTGAAGAAATACATGATTGCTAACCAGCCAGGGACTTGAAACAATGCCTTATATATGGCCACAATTTCCCTGTATTTCTGTTAAACATGACCAATGAAAACAAGAATTTAAGCACTAAAAACTAATTGTTTTCAAGGAAATTGATGTAAAACTACTCTTAACAAATTTCCTACCTTTGCAATTTCTCTCTTGACAAGGTGAAAAGATTGTGCATATGTACTGTGAGCATCTTCCAGATTCATCATGATATTGAGTGCAACATGTGAACACAGCTGCTCACTCACAGATGTGATCTTCTCCAGTCGCTCTGACCACATCTGATGAAAAAAAAAGTTTTTTTGGGTTTTGATTCAATGGAAAATTAAATCAACAAAAGCAGAGTATAACACTTGTAATCTTCCTCTACAAACTTTTCTATTATTATACTTTCCCTAAGAAGGCCCTTGGAAATTTAACCCTTCTCACCCTTAAGAGTGACTAATGTCTAATTTCTCCTTACAATATCACCCCTGAATCACACATTAAAGTCATGAGAATAAAGGAAATGATCACAAACAAAATAAGTGCTTGATTGTTAAACAAATTCTTCTTTTCAGCACCTTAGGAAATGAAAACCGTTATGGAGAATATGCAGATGGGTGTTGGGGAGTAAAGGAGCAACTGTCACATATGACTTTCCTGGTTTCCCTCAACAGCTTCCATTACAATATTAGTACAAAAACATGCTAGAGTTGGTTCAAAAACAAGAATAACATTGTAATGAGGGTATAAGAGTATCACTTTTTTTTTTTTCATTTAAAAAAAAGGTGTCCTGGAATCAGAAATCAGGCAGGTAACATCATGTTCAGTTCCCCAAGTTCAAATGTTTACAGCATTTCCACCAAGAGAGACATAATATGTTTGTGCAATCAATTGTTCAATTACACACAATGATGTGAATCCCAGTTTTAGCTTTGAAATGTTCTACTGTTGGGTATGAAGCAATACCTGTATTTCATCCAGTGGACCTGGTTTTGGACCAAACTTTTTTATTTCAATCTCTGGGTCTAGCTTCAGAGTAACCTATAAAAAATAAGTACAATACATAGAAAATAATGCACTTATGAAAAGATCCACCTAAGGGTATAGTAAAAAAAGTTTGGAAATTTAGTTAATTTGATACTTGATAACTGACTAATGTCAGCACAAAAATTTGAAGCAGAGAGATCAGTGTGTACTAGAGAATGGCACATAGAAAATCAAAGGGCTGATGGATATGTTTGATCTGATTTCAAAATTTAGAGGCACTAATGACAAGACAACAAACACACACCCACTTGTTCTTTTGAATTCACATTTTAGGAGGTGGGAAATTAAAAGAACAGGGCTAACAAATAAACGGTTAACACTTAAAATCTTCAAACCTGAAAAACATATGACCGTTAATTAGCAATGTTCAACAAGTTTGAGCTAGCTTTAAGTGGATACCATTCTGCACTCATTGCTGATACAGATTTAAATAATTTCAACCCTCCGCCATCACCTAGTGGCTTAAATGATTTTAAATTATTACTGGGCTGTACAGTAAGTACTCTTTCCATTAAAAAAGGGATATGTCACTGTCATATGTACTAGGACTACAATTGCAAACTGGAGATTTGTGTTTCTGTGGATACTCTACAAGGAGTGACTAATATACTGTAAGCTCATTGATTTTGAACCATAATTGTTAAAAAAATGTCAATTTTTTTCAAAATGGCACCAAACCTTACAGATTAAGTGTCTGTTGATCACATTATACACGGATACGATTGCATTAGAAACCTTTAGTTCACAGAGTTTTCCGAGACTTTTGAGAGTTTTACCTTGATCTGTTTTATCCAATTAACCACAGCTGTCTCCAGCACATGAATGACCGCAGGTCGTCTACTACTGTATGCGGCTGCCTCTGACAACACCTCAATTGATGGTAGCGGTAAAGTGACCTGATCTTTTGAACTGCCCTCAGAAACTTGCAAGACTGAAACCAGCCTGTGGACTAGGTCCATAAGTTTGTCGGCACTCACACCTCCACCCATCTCAATACTTAACAGCGGCAAGAACACATCCTTTGTCAGAGTACTTGCATGGGTAAGTGGTTGATATGAACAGTCGCAGAAGGCAACATCTGTGACTATCTTATCTCTGGAGAGTTTCCCTGCTTCATTGTTCTTGACAAAGTAAACAGACTTTTCCTTTGAGCCGCTGGGTGGAGTAAGCGATGCCATGAGATTTTTGCCAGCAGGAGATGTTGAGTAGTATATAAACAACTTCTTCATCTCTTCATTGTTGCAAAATTCAAACATAGCCTCCCTGCAAAGAAGAGACGTAATCAAATATAAATAATGAAACATGCCATGCTCTTGCTTGAGTACAGTTCAGCTAAAAAAAAAAAAAAAGTTGCATACATGTACACAACATTTGCTCAAATATCCTGAGAGGAAGGGATATATTGAGGACCCTCTCAAAAATTAATCTGTAAAATATCAATTTGTTGTAATTTTGAAATT